AGATGTACAATAGAATTTGAGTTCATTTCTTTATATAAAGCTGGAAAAGAAGTAGAATGGTTTCACAATTTCTTAGAGGATATTTCAAATTGGCCAAAGCCTATGCCAACAATATGTATACATTGTGATAGTCAATCTACGGTTGGAAGGGCACAAAATAAAATGTATAATGGTAAGTCTCGATGCATACGTCGTAAACATATTACCGTTAAATAGTTGCTCTTGAATGGTATTATATTCATTGATTGTGTGAAGTGAGAGGATAACATCGTGAATTCGCTTACAAAAAGTTTGGCTAGAGAGTAAGTGTAAAGGTTATCGAGTGGAATGGGCTTAAAGCCTATTAATTAATCAAGATTCACTATAATGGCAACCAAACCTAGCTGACAGAAGATCCCAAGTTCTATGTTCAAAGGGATAACCAAATTATGTGTAACTCAAAGAAGCACTGAGGAGGTTTGAACTCCTTCCCATTCCTATGATAAGACAGTGCATATCTGCTGCAAGAAGTAGGATAAGTTACGCTTTTAATACCAATGGGTCTTTAGTGCAATGAAATTCCTTACCCTGTGAAGACTTTACCTTCTTGAGGTCAATGGTTCAAGTCTCCCTTCCCCCTCCAAAAAAAAAAAAGTTATGCTTTAATGATGTGACTTGGATAGGTCTAAGTAGGGTATAGCAGGATACTCTTAATCAGAAATCAACTATGTGAGTAGGAAAATGACGTTTCTATGATAATCTTAGTTGAATTCTCTAAATTACACATAAAACCAAGTGGTGTTCGAGGCCAAAATGAACGCAAACGTGACAACTAACTGTATCCGAAGAAAAATTGTATGAATTCTATTATTTTGATTTACACAACAGCTGACTATTTAAAAACATCAAGTACACTGATTAGCCAACCAAATCCGATAGTCTTTTACTAAGGAAGGTTCAAGGCCATTAGGCTATTTATCTTGATGTAGTAACCTTCAACTATATTTGAATTAGTGTCTCCATTTTCATACAACAAATTTTCATTAATGTGGGGGATTGTTGTAAAAATTAGTTTTAAAGAAAGTAATTTGGAGTAATTTTAGGCTTAAATAAAAGTGGGACCCACACCTCAAAATTTGTGGAACCATATTTAACCCTGTTCTCTTCCGCGAGGAGATTAACGTGGTGTATTTACTTGTTCAAAATCATTAAGTATTAAATGGAAAATTGTATCTCAAAATGACTTACTTAAATGGATGGAAGAAACTAAGAATGACGTAGTGTAGTATAACAAGCTTGTCTAACATTGGTTAAAAACCAAAAACTTTAATATACTTCTAGTTGGCTTATAAGAGATGAGACTCAATGGGTACCACAATTTTATGAGTAGAGAGAACATCTACACAAAATTGGTTACCACAAGCGTGCGACGCTTACTCGCCTCACTACGACCCGACCTACGCTTGGGTTTAGGTCAACAAGAAAGTATCTTTTTACCAAAATTGTATTTGAAGCGGTGCGGGTTATGAGTCAACCAAATGGATCTAGATTCAAATCTCACTTATTCTTCCAATTGAAATTCAAAATTCATGTATATTATTTTTTGAATTTGGTGTCGTTTTGATTGTGTCTGTTTTTCACCCCAGAGATGCCTTTCCATTGAACAATAGTGTCTCTTCAACCCAGAGACGCCCTTCGCGATTGTTCAATGAACAATAGTGTCTCTTCAATGCAACTTAAATAGACACGAGAGTCAATAAAAGGACTCCCTTGAAGCCATTTTTCATATAGAAAATTCTTACACCCTCTCTCTCTCTCACTTTGTATTACATTTCTATTTCATTTAAGAGCAAACACTTGTTGTGTTCGTTGATTTTTAAGAGATTAAATTGCTACTTCTTCAAAGACAAAATATGTTCTATTTGGGAAGATAGTTTTGCATTAACCTTGAGCACCAAGATGGAGCAAATTTGTCTTAATGAAACTGTGTTTCACAGGTCTCAAATTATTTCTTATTTCTATTGTTTCTTGCTATTATGCATTCAAGTAAACGCATCACTTCTATTTTTATACATTATGATTTATATAATTGATTTGCATAAAACAATATACATAGAGATAAAGATTTACTATAGTAAGTATTGTCTAATTCTAATTACAATTTTGCTACACCATTTGCACCATTCGTAGGAGTAAATCATTGTGGACAATTGACATTACTTGGGTGTGGATTGATCTCAAGTGACGACACAGAGACATTTACACGGTTATTCCAGTATTGACTTACTTGTATGAGTGGATGTCATCCCATTGTAATTATTACAGATGAAGGTATAATTGTGCAAAATGCAACAGAGGCTGAAATGCATGACATCAGTGGTGCTTCTGGCATATCATGAAGAAATTTCCTAAAAATATAAAATGCTATAAGCAATATAAGTCTATCAAATTATAATTGTGAAATGTGGCTTATGATTTGTTGATGATAGAAGGATTTGGAGAAGGTTGGTGTCGATTCATTGCAAAGTATGGCCTTGAAAGTAAGAATGGTTACTTGGATTGTATGAGGGGAGACATCGCTTGCTGCCCGCATTTGTGAAAGATATGTTTTGGGCAAACATGTCTACCACATAGCGAATCGAAAGCATAAATGCATTTTTTATGGGTATGTTAATTAGAAGACCACCTTGAAACAAGTTGTTGAACAATACGAGAATGCATTACAAGATAAGTTGAAAAAAGAAAATCAAGAAGACTTCAATTCGTATAACTTGTGGCTCCCTTGTATAACTCAGTATGAGATGGAAAAATAATTTCAAAATGTATATACAACAGTAAAGTTCAAGGGAGTTCCAAATAGAACTAAGTGGAAAAATATGTTGGAATTTGTCTTCATGTCAACAAGGTATTGATGTATGAAGTAGGTGAAGATGTACATTTTGGAGACAATTATCAAATTGTAACCTTCAAAGTTTTAGTGAATGAGGACAACAATAATATAAACTGCAATTGTTGATTGTTTCAGTTTAGAGAAATATTGCGTAAACATATCATTTCGGAGCTCCTAGATAAAAAGATTTTAAAAGTGTCTGACAAGTATATCTTACAAAGATGGTGCAAGACTATCAAAAGAAGACACACCAAAGTTTGTATAAGTTATGTTAACTGGTCTACAACACCTAAATCACAACGATTTGATAAAATGTATAATGTCTTCTTTGATGTTGCAGATTTGACTACAAATATTGAGAGTCGGTGTTCAAAGGTGATGGCGCGAATTTCTAAATTAAAAGAGTAGCTAAACAAAGATATTGATGTTTGTGGAAGCTATCAACCCAATTTTACACTCAGAATAATTCAAAATCATGTGAAAATGATATTAGTAGTTTAAAGGAGAGTAAAAGTATTCTTACTCCAATAGCTGTTTGTTTGTAGCAAGGGTGAACCTCCAATTATTAGTAACTCATCACACCACTCGATGAAGTTATTACATGCTTGTATTTTTAAAAGTGTTGATGAGTTGCTATGTTAAAAAAATAATTTATATGAACAAAAAAAACACACTTACCATAGGTTAGGGACAAAAATAATAGTGTCTATTGAAATTCTATGTCGATCGCGCAAGGAGAGAGAGAGAAATTGTCAGATCTGTTGAATGTTGCAAATGTCACAAAAAAATAACGAAAATATCTTGGCTATAAATGGTTTAGAATGTTCCGAAGAAATCGTCCAGTGCCTACTGAAGAAATTGTCGGATCTTCTCGTTAGATCTGTCGAAGTTTTGGGATGTCGTTGAACCATCGTAGCTTTTCACATATGGGGACCCACTTGGGACATATGTCATGTCGGGTCGTAACTTTTGGAGCTTTGTTTGAATTCTCTAGCATTACTAGGAAATTCAACTGAACGGCTACAAATATGAGGGCAATGAAATACTTAAATGTGCATGTGGCAGTTTACGATTAGACGAGCCTAGTAAAATATACCAAAATTATGGTTGTTTTACCCCACAGCACACCTCTATAAAGTTGGGTTCTTTAAAACTTCAACTTGGGAGCAAACTAATTTATAAAATGTCAACTCAAGTGCAACTCTAACTTAAATTTAATCCAAGTATTATCCATGTTTAAATTTTAAACTCAAGTTGACATTTAGTTATTATTAGGGTTTGATTCTTAGGTTATATTGAATTTCAGTTCAATTTAAATTGAAGTCCAATTCAAGATAGATTGAGCCCAATTTTGATTCTTAAGTTACATACTTGGACTAGAATTTTAGTCAATTTCGTTTTAACTCAATTGAACAAAAATTCACTTATTTGGATTGAGTTTAAATCGAGTATTATCCAAATTCAAATTAAATTAAGATGTTTTGTCCCAATTTAATTCGCATAGTCAACGTCTATGCCCAAAAACTAATTGCAATTAGTGATTTTGGCTATCACTACAAGAAAAAAGATATTTATCGGCGTTTATTAAACGCCGATAAATGTAAATAAACGCTACAAAATTTTATCATTGACGTTTGTCATTAAGGTCAGTGAAACCTTCGTCGAAAAAATTACTGACGTATAATTAAACGACACAAAAATTAAAGTGACGTTTCTTACCCAGTAAAGCAATGCTTATTTAATCAACGAGTTCCTTTTAAAATTTCGGTGAACGGAGCTAATTAACGGCGTTTATTTAAAAGCCAAGAATTATTGTTTCTGGCAACTAGTTGATATTTTTTTTTTATAAATCAGCACAAAAAAATCTGTCATACGATTTGTTTCCCTATAAATAGTCTGCTCAAAATTTCCAAAACAATCTGCTAAAAAAATGCAAATAAGAAAACAACAATATTTAAAAAAATCCAAACCAAAATAAGCTTCAACAGCATCCTCCAAAAACAAGCTTTTCAACATCATTCTCCAATCCTTAAAAAAAACATCTCCCCATTGAACATCCTCCACTGGATAATACAACAGCACTTCTCTTTCCCAGCAGCATAATCCTGAACCTTAGGCTTAAGAGGGAGAGTCACTTGGGCAGAAATTTCGCTCTCTTTTGTTGATCAACCTATATTTAATATAAATTAACACATGAATTCCACATAAAACAATAAAAATGAAAAGCACTAGTGTCAAATTTTCTCACAAGAATCTAAAGTTAAGTCAATAACAAGGTAGCCATAAGCTTAAAAATGAACAGCGCATGTTTTGAAAATTGCAATATTACAAAAGATAATTGGTAGAATTATAGCCATTTCTATGGTGATCCATCACAACATGAAAAAAGAAAAGTACAATGATCCCAGAGACACTAACATTCATGGAGCCACCATTGACTAATTTTCTCATTTTAATGATCCCAGTACAATGATCCACCATTGATTGTTAGTCTTTCCCAGTACAATGATCCCAAGTACAATGATGCACCATTGATTGTTAGTCTTTCCTCATTTCATTGACTAATCGGTTTCACAGGATTTTTGTTTAACATATGCCTGGTGACAGGAGAAAAGGCATCCTAGTACTTGGGATGACTCATATATATAAATTATTAACACATTAATTAGGTCATCAATTTTAATTTTTATATAATTGAAATTTATATTTTTTTTAAATATATATATAAATATAAATAAATAATAATTATTTTTTTATGAACAAATTGACCCCAAATATAGACTCTTCACGTAAAAACGAGTCAAATGACTATAAATTAGATCAAGTTTCGTAACGAATAAATATGTCTATATATACGTAATGAATGAATAGATATATATATATATATATATTTATTATAAAGATTAAAGGACATAAACAGTAAAAACATGCATAAAAAAAAAAGAGAAAAGAAACGGTGAAGCAATGGACAAGTGTTCGTGAGAATGCTTGGTCCCCAAATAAATCTTGGCTATAAATAGTCAAGATCAGTACACTGAACGACACAAGGAAAAAAAGAAAGGGAGGAAGAAAGGAAGGGAGGAAGAAAGGAAACAGGAAAAAGGAGTCAAAAATTTTATTGACTTAAGAGTTTACACGTACGATCCAAATTTTAGGTAAGATTTTTTAGTTATTATTTAGTAAATTTTATATGTTCGAGTCACTTAAAGTTGATCTTCATTAAATATTTTTGATTCAAATTTAAGTATCATTATCTTTCATTAGTTATTCCGAAAATTATTTTAGGTTAACTAAACCCTTATTACTTATTGTTATTCTAAAATATTATTATGGTTATTTGTTAGAGTACACGGTATCGAATAGAAGTCAAGAAGAAGGTAGGATTTCTTTTATCTTTTACTATCATTGATGCATTTCATGAATATATGGAAGTTTCATATCAAATCTATTTTAAATTATATAATGTAATATTATATTGCTATGATCATGGGGTCAAACTGGGATTTTATAAATAAATTGTTATCATGCACATATTGTATTTTTATTGAGACCCTGATTATTTCCTGAAACCACGTTGCATAATAATTTTTTTTTTTATTATTTATATTTAATGTTTAATTTGTTGTGGAGTCTGACTACGATATGACTTTATTTTGTGATTTTGATGAAATTACTATGAATGCATATAATCGAGAGTAGAGGGTTAGTAGATGCGTAATCCTTCCGAGATTCACAGAATTCCTACTATTCCTTGGGTTCACCGGTTAGTAATATCAGTTGCCGTGGTAGATTGTGTAGCACCATATAATTTCAGATATTGGTGTTTCCAGAAAAACAAGAAGGGCATTAGGTTCCCTAGAGTGCAAGACCTCAAAGTTTTCTCCGGAGGCGGTTAATGCGTGGACCAGAAAATTGACGGATTAATATGATCGATATGTGCTGAAATTTATTTATTTATTTGATTCATTACTTTGCCCTATTCCTGCATTTATTCGCGGTTTAATTATATTATGCATTGTTTTGAAACTTTTATAGTTATTGATAAATGTTATCCTATTGAGCTGGTGAGCTCATCCCTATTTAATATTTTTCAGATATATGAAGTCGAGCTGAAGAATAGGCTAAAAGGATGATAAATAGAGTCTGCTATTATTATTTCTCCTTATGTTGTATCAAGAATATTTGAAATGATCTTGTGAGGATTATGTACGCATACGCAAAATAAAATAATATAAGGAAGATTATTGTAAGTTCGGTGTGATTTTATTCCTTAATCACGCCGGGGTATTTTTTTTCTTTTTTAAAATAAAATTTCGAGGTGCGACAATACTGATATAGTAACAGAGGTTTTCTCAAAAGCCATGCCACCAATTTTCTGAGAAGAAACTTTGAGAAACTGATCAAGCAAATATAAAGTTATAAAACAACTGCATTGAGAAAGCAAATCTGTTCAATGCCAGGAAGATCAACCATGAATTTTGCCTAGAAAACATAGAAGTGTTGATACGCAGAGAGTAAAGAGACAGTGCACAAAGAATGGTACACTTCAAAGTAACAAATCCATGGGAGCCTCTACAAAGGTACTTCAAAGTAATTGCAACAAGATCAATACTATTCCATTTATTGACTCACCTGACCAAATGAAGATGCTCTTAAATGACCTTGGAACTCTGTGTCTCGCACTGCCGGACTTCTTGACTCACTCCTCATCGATGATTGAGTACTAGATGCATCAGGTACCTTTTAAGATTGCAAATACTTAATATTCGTGGAAAAAAATAATAAAATAATACAATAACTCTTCTAACTCAAAATATAAATCGCTTAAGTTTTTATTACTTTTTTAACTTGAAGTGGATCTGTGTTTTTGTGAGCTGGTTCGAGAATAGACATACCTATTGCACGCATTTGAACGAGAAAAACCTCAAACTGTTTTTGTTGAGCCTCAAACTTAGCTTCCATATGACTCATTTGCTTCTCCATTTGTGCCTTCTAAGCCTCCATCTCTAACTGCTTAGCCTCCATCTCTGTCTTATGTCTACTCAATTGCTCATCTAGTTGGACTGCATTGCTTGCATCTCTTCTAATTTTTTATGTCCAAACACATCTCTCGGAGATGGTTCAAAACCATATGTTCTAACAGGCCATGTATTATGAGAAATACTCATTGTCCTGTATGGATTAAACCCATCAGACGCTAATCCAAGTCTAACATTACGTGCATCATTAGCAAAATCGGGATACAACTGGTCAAGAGTTTTCCAAGTAAGAGAATCAGCTGGATGCCTTGGTACCCCATCATTTGTTCGGTCTGTAGCATGCCATGTCATCAATGCTGCTGTTTTTGATGACATAAACAATCTCTGAAGTCTCGGTATTAAAGGGAAATACCTTACAACTTTTTGCGGGATTTTTTGCCCTCCAATGTTTGTTTCATCTACTTGACCATCAATTTGTTTATATCTAGATGTTTGACATTTCTGACAATCAGTCCTATCAGCTGACTCCTTCCAATACAATATACAATCATTGGGACATGCATGTACCTTAATGCAATCTAGACCTAAATCTTTAATCAATTGCCTAGTTGCATAAAACGAAGTGGGCAATGTGTTACCCTCAAGTAACATATCCTTTAGTATTTGAAGTAACATTGTGAATGACTTGTCGCTCCATCCATTAAGACATTTGATGTGCATCAATTGAACGACAGCTGATAGTGTCGAAAACTTGGTACATCCCGGATATAACTTTCGTTCAGCTTTCATTCAATAGTTTGAAAAACTTTTGTGTTGCCTGATCAGACCCTTCTCTATTATTCCTTTCAGGTTCATCACTACTCATTCCACAAATTGGACTTGGAGGGGGAATACCAAATGCATCATGCAACATTTCTTGAATTTCATCTCCCGAACTAGAGTCACTTGATTCATTATCTCTAGAAACCGAAGCAAATGACCTTTCCCCATGAAAAATCCAACGAGTGTAACTCTCAAGAAACCCATCTACAATCAAATGCTCTTCCAAAAGTTCCACTTTTACCATGAATTAAACAGAAACCTGAATTCTAAAGCTGCAGTTACTTTGGATGTATGTTACACATCAAACAAACTATATTGTTCAAACATATAGCTTTGTTAAATCCTTCCTTTCCTAACAATATTTCTCTAACCAGAAAGAAAGCTCACAGTAGCAGATACATAAGGATCCTAAATTACCTAAACATTCGGAATTTTTTTTTTCCTGAAATTAAAATCTTTGTATGCTAATGATTAAAATCTTGGTAACAAAAGATTAAAAATCAATCCAAATAATTCTGGATTATGCGGAGATTAAGTAAAACAGCAGCAAATGCTCCTACTTCAATTCAGACCAGAAAACAAAACAAAAATAATTAAGTTAAAAATTAAAGCATATCGCCAATACTAACTAACAACTCATCTAAGGGAGCGAATTAAAAGATAAAGAAAAGAAATACAATCAATATACTATATCTACCATAGCATTCAAGTTTACTAACCGAACAATCCAATATATATAGAAAAAAAAATAAATATATATATATATATTCAGATCATTTGCTGTTGTTTAACATCTTACCGAAAGAGAACCAATAAGAGAATCTGTATGGAGCAATGCAGTCTGAGCAGTTTTGTTCTGTGAAGAAGTCGTGAGCAATGAGAATTAGAATGCTTGGGAGGAAAGAGATTTATCTGATTTCAGAGGAAGGAGCAGCCACTGATGATTTGATGAAAAGTATATTCCTTGCCATTGAGACCAAATCAACACCAAATTCTTTCAGGCATTTCCTCAAACAGGTGGAGGGTGGGGAGGTGTGTGACTGAGATTTGCTAGAAGGAGACAGATGGAGGCAGGGAGAGAGACGAGAAAGTAGAAAATATGTAATCAAACCAGTAATTTAAACATGCGTATTTAAATGCAGATTCACACAATTGAAACAAACTCAGTTGGATAATCGGCGGAGACTTTGGAGTTGCCGGAGGTAGACGGAGCTGCCTGAGATTCGACTTTGGACAGAGGGTGATTGAGTATGTGAATCTAACAAATCTGGACGTGAGAGAGAGAAAGAGAGAGAAGAGAGAAGGATGTCGCGATCGCCAGGGAAAAAATCAATGGAGTTCCGCAGGAAAAAAATCAATGAAGTTTACAACAGAGAGGAAAAAATGAAAATGAAGTCGAGAGATTAGGCATTTGATGAGTTCGTCGGATTCTCGCCTGAGGTAGTCTCGAATATGTAGTCTAGTTTGCAACAGAGAGTTCATTTTCTGATGAGTTCGTCGGAGAGAGAGAAGTCGAGAAATTAAGCGAAATATTTTTTTTCTTATTTTTATTAATAATTTGTGACGATTAACTTAAGCGCCCGCAATTAAACAGAAAAATAAAATTTAAATAAAAATGACAATTAAATATAAAAATAAATTTTAAATTATTTTTATTAATAAAACGTTAATTTTAGTTGCGTTTAAATTTAACGTCAGAAATTAAATGCCGAATTTGCTCTTGTTTCTCGTAGGATATTCACATATCACGTGTCATGCACGTGATAGGCTTAAGGACAGGTTAATAAAAAAAAATAATGATCTTTTGACGTAATCACCAAATTGACATCAACAATGATGTTCGTTGGGCCATGTGCGAAGCCAGGATTGTTTGCTAAGGGGCCCAATTGGTGCGGCAACAAAAAATTTATAGTTGAATAAAACACAATAAAATCAACGTTTAAATTATAACCCTTATATCACTTTATTCATCGACTATTGGTTTGAACACATTGGAACCATAAAAATATTCCAGTGGATTATTTGTCCAAATTTAACCGTAATACTAAGTTTAACAATTTGTACAAAAAAAAATACAAATTAGAGTGATTAATGTTACAAAACATTCAAATCAGTAATCAAGAGATAAAGAAGATCAGAATCATTATCTAAAGTATAAAATATAATATTGAAAAGTTGAGAGGGTCACATAAAATAAAAAGAGATTTGGCGAGAGGTAAAAAAATATGTACTTTTAAGGTGAAAGGTCTATCTTGAACATTTTTAAGGCGAAAAGTTCATAAAATACGTAGTTAACAAAAATATCATTAAAGAAAGAGGTTAGTTAAAAACTTCCACCGTATCCCACCACCACCACGCATCTCCACCGATAGTGAACTACATAACAGTGAACTAAGAAACACCAATGTATTTTTGTTATATATTATGGATGAAAGAAGAGTTGAATTTTTTAATTCACTGTTTTTTAGTTCACTATTGGTTTGGGGTAGGGGATGGGGGATGGGGGATGGGGGATGGTGGGTGGTGGTTGTAGATTTCTACGGAAGAAGAGTTGGATTTACCCATGAGAAAGATAATGATTCTTGGTTGGGTAAAGTGCAAGACATAGGAGGTAATATTGTTATTTAAAAGAAAAACAAATTAGTTTTGATCTTTTGCCTTAAAAGTTCAGTTGAACTAGACCCCATGCCTTAAAAAATATATGGCTCGACTTATTGACAAATTAGGTACCAATTTTGTAGTTTTCAACAATTCACACTAAAAAAAAAAAATGATGTAATTAGATTGGATTAGAAGAAAAAACAAACACCTGACATAGTTTCAATGCCTTAAAAGTACCTTACTTGGAGTTAATGACTCAAAAGACCATCGGACAGAATTTCTGACCCATTTTTACTATTTAAAAAGTAAAACTAGTTAAATCATGTGGGCCTAATTTGTCAATTATACGTTTTCTCATTTTGACTATGGAAGTAATTTTACTGATTTGAACGTGTTGGACCTCCAAATATTCAAATATCTGACACTTTACACATAAATTTTGGATAAGAATAATTTATGGGAAGTCTAAAATTGAGCAATTTATATTTGTGTCACAAATTCGAGTAACTAAAGTTATTTTTGAAGGATAATCAACCAAAAAGATACATAATAAGGAATTAATTGGTCAGTTAAATATCCAAGAAAGAAAAAATCGTTAGTTTGATGAATATTTCTGATCTTTAAATTTCTTTGATGAATTTATTTTCAATTTTATCAATTCATGAATGGAAAATGGACTCTACTTGTGTCCTATCTTGTCACAAAGTTTGATTTCCCTAACTTGTTTGCCGTTTCTTTTTGCTTTTCTCAAATTGGATTGATTAAAAAAAATTTATAAACTCATCCATTCATCCGGTATCTACATAGGTATATGATTTTGTTCAAAAAAAAAAAAATAGGTATATGATTTATTTCTACATTTACTAGATTGACTCAAGAGGATGGTACATTTTTTGCACTCACAACACCAACATTAAAATTGCAGGATTGCAAACCATGCTTCTAGATTGTATTTAATAAAAAACTTTTTTATCTCACTAATCGCTGTGTGAATGAGATATATATACATGCTTATTTATTTATTTATTATTTTGTCATGGTTGTGAATGATTATATATATATACATGGAAATGATTTCGGACAATGTACCTCGAACTTCCAAAAATTGAGAATTTGTAATAAGACAGAATTTCCATGAATTCGATTTGTTGTTTGCTATTATCACTTTAAGGTTCTAATATTTGTCAATTTTTATCTTGCATGGTTTAGGAGTAATGAATATCAACATCTTACTGTTCAAAAAAAAATATCAGCATCTTAGAATAAAAAGTATCTTTTCTAAAATATAGATCATCTTAGGTAAAAAGTTAAAATAGATTGACATTTGTTAGAAAACTCCAATGGAGCTCTCTAATAATTTCATTCAGTGTTGCAGAATAGAGTGATTTTTTTTCTTTAAATGTAGAAATTGAAATTGGACTCTCTACTTTAATTGATCCAAATAAAGAGCCAATTGAAGATAAATTTATAGGGGTTGACTATGTTAAATAGAAAATTGAGTGGAAATAGAAAATCTATTGAAAATTATCTCAGAAAGTTTCATTGTTTGGAGTTATCTGGCATGGTTTAATTGATCTCTGTACAAAAGATGATTGGTGAGCTTTGCTCGGCCTTACTTCCAGTTTGGTCATATTAACAGTTTGGCTTATTCAGCCGAATGTTTTCGGTCATCTGCTCAGTACATTGTAATAGAGACTGTGATTCCCCACGTGCCTTGCGCATGTGCTTCTTGTCGTGTGCTTTGGGACACGCGACTTCATTAATTAGCTCAATCATGCACAATCGTTTTATGCACCATCACTTGCCTTTTAGGGGATGTGTGGCATGTGGTACACGTCGACTAGCGTTCTTTGATATTTCATCGTTTTCGTATTTAATGTATTGTTTGGTCTCTCGCAAAAAGACAATGTGCAAGTTTTTTCTCTATAGAACTTCTTTCTTCATTTAATGCAAGTGTCCATTCCAGTGCAAGCGTCGTTTCCCTTTAATGCCTTTCCGTTTCTTTCTTAAGAGTCGTCTCTTTCCTTTTTTCTTTCCACTTTCTCTATAAGCTTTAGAGCACACTGCATTTTGTACGATTTATTTCTATTTTCCATGGCTCCCTTTATAAAAGAAGATATTATTGGCTTTAAGGCACCTAAGGCCAATGAGGCCCTTATTGGTTCTAGGGAGCCTATAGCTTTGCACATAATTTGCATCACCGAAGGTGGAGTCCATTTCCCTCTTCATCCCCTTCTTCTCAGGGTTTTTTCTACCAACTTCTTTCTAATAGTAATGGGAGTTGTGGCCTTGAATAATCTCCTTAACAACAACCTTAGTCTCTAGGAGATTCTGTACTACTGCATCGTCAAGCTTGTTGGTAATGACAACTACTACCTGGCAGTTAGGAATAAAAGCCGCTACTTCATCACTCAACTTTCTAATTCCAACAAGAAACATGAAAAAGACATAGTGATTGTTTTTGGGAACTTGGAACACAAGGCTAGGAAAGTGTTATTGTTTTTGGAAACTTGGAACACAAGGCTGGGGAAGTGTCTGACTATCGATGCCCATATGAGAGTGGTGCTCTAGGTATTCCCTTAAATGTTTTAAATTATTTCCTTTTTTAAGAAGAGAATCTTAGCAAAGTCTCTGATTTGCCTTCTTTTCAAATAACGAGTAGGAGAAGATATGAAGAGGAGAGTCTCAGATCTGTCCGCTCTCAGATCGGTCTGTCAACATGGAAGATCTTAAGATGGTGTGGTCTTTCAATAAGACCCTCTTTTGCCAAGCTGCACACCAACTACTTGGTTATAATCCCTCATACCGCTCTTTCATAGTTGTTCCAGATAAGCCTAATGCTTGACTTGTCAAGGGCCAAGAAGCACTCAAAACCCTTAGAGCTTTTACCCCAAGGTCCCGCCAAAAGTCTGTCATTTCTGGGCAAGGCCGACTGGTGAAAAAATTTACTAACCTCGTCTTCAACTCTTCTGACGCATCCCTAAGTGTTATCATGGATGCTTCAGTTTCCCAAACTCGCCTTATTACTCAAGGTCTTTCCCCTCCTCACTCTATTCGGCCATTTGTGATTGAGGCTGAGACGATACCGATATCAGATAAAGATCTGGTCATTGCTCCTACTTTTGATCAGCCCAAAGTAGTAGATACCCTAGGCGATGATGCTTCTAAGGACATTGCCGCTACTTCCCCCAAGGCCAAGTCTTCTCTCTAGTTGAAAAGGCAACAAAAGCACACTGCCAAGAAGAAGAAGGTCATGGAGATCAATGAATTTGATCAAGGCAAGTAGGTGATTTCTCCTTTTCACCTCATCCTGAAGGACAAGGGCAGAGAGATTACAGTAAAAGACTCTGTTTTGGCTGCTAATGAATCGATGAGTGATAACTAGATCTCCTGAAGTGCCCTTCAATTGATGGTGCTTATAAGTTTCCTTTTTCTTTCTATAGTTTGATGATATGAGATTTGACTAAGTGCTTTTGTTGTAGTATTGCACGAAGTTTGTGCCCTAATTTCTCAAAGGATAAGGCTATGAAGATGGTCGTCTAAGATCGAATGACTACCCTAGAGAAGAACTAACAATTGGATGCCAAGGTTTCCAAGATTTGTGAGGAGATCTTGGCCTTCCAAATCCAAATGATCGATCTGGAAGAAGAGAGAGACCGTTTGAAGCCTTCCAATGACAACTTGAACTCCTTAGAGGCCGAGGCCTCTCGCGATCTCTCTCAAACTCAAGAAAAATATGCTTCCCTTCTTGAAGAGTTTAAAAGTTTCAAACCTGATTCTAAGGCTAAGGAAGATGTAGCCTTTGAAGATGGGATAGAGAAGGTCGGGGAAGAGGTTGCCCAAAAAAGTTAGCCATATTGAGAAGGTAAATTTCAAGAACGGTTAGGATGAAGCTCTATGAGCTACCAGTGTTCTGCTGACCTCTGAGCTCTTCCCTCAGATCTTCTGATTAATATAATGAATTTTTTTGTGATCCTTGGTTGGTTTTCTACATTCACATAAATTTATGTCCTCTTCCCCTTACAGAGAGGCTCGAAATCAATGAAGGGTTCAAGCCTTCATACATAAAAAAATTTCATGCCCCCTTCCCCTTAGCTAAGAGGCTCAACCTCAATGAGGGGTTTGGGCATTTATATTGGTCATTTGTGATGGCTATTGTACTGACCCGCCGATCTATTCGGGCTCAAATTTGTACCATTTTGCCTTCACCTCCGTTTAGAGCCTTGGGCCTAAGTTTGATCAGGTTCAAATCTTTACCTTTTGCCTTTGTTAGGATTTTTTCCTCCCTGCCTTGGTAGTAGCTGTTTAATGCTTGAGCCTACTTGGATCTTATGCTTAGAACTATTCACAGGACTTTTTCCTTTGCCTTGACAAATGTTCATTTGATTGTATAGATTTTACAAAGGCATTTTGTAAGTGAAAAATCTTTTATTGATATAAAACACCTTATAGTTTTAAAGACCTAGCTAGCTAATCTTGAAGGTATTTCAGGTCAATTTGGCTAATATTGAAGGTAGTTCAGGTCCATTTCTTTATTATGGAAGGCATTCCGACTTCCTGATCAAAGGCACTTCGATATTTGCTTTCTTTTGAGGGTACTGCAAAAGTAGCACTTTTGTAGGTTTATTGTGTTCCAGGGTCACAGAAGTGGATGCCATTCTTATGGCTGCCGACTCCCTTCATTCTTCTACCAGGTCCAAGTCCTTGGCCATGCACTCCTCATTTTTGGTACTGTTTGCCAATTCAGACCTTAAGAATCGGGAGGCTAATCTCTAGTAGGATAACTCCTTCCATCCCTTATACTAACGTGTAGGGAGTTTTCTCGGTTAATTGTTGTTAGGGGTGTTAATCGGGTCGAGCCTTCTAAGCTTTGATATGCTTAGGCTCGACTCAAAATTTTCAAGGCCTGTTCAAGCTCGAACACCGAGCCTAAATTTTTGCTCAAGCTTGGCTTGGCACAAGCTCGTGCTAAAACCGAGCTCTAATGCTAAATCTCAAATCTACAATTGAAAGTTCAAAAGTCTCAAATGCACGAGTCCCAAATCACAAATTTCAAATTATAGTTCATAAATTTCACATTAAATATACACAAAGATAAATCTAAACTCAAACCCTAATAATCAACAACTTCAAAAATTGAATAAAACTAACAAATAGACACCATGAACATATATAATTATATACAGTAGATGCCCTTCCTTCTCCAATTTGTTGCACCAACTCAATGGGATTTTGGGGATAATGATTCAATCCAGGTTAGATTCACGACGATGATGATTGAAACTGAAATGTGAGAGAGTTGATAAAGAAGATTCCATAGATGCAAACCAATAAAATGAAGAAATTTTTGTGAAGAGTGAGAGACAAGTAGGTCGATTGTGTGTCGCTTCTTGAGAGAGACTTAGAATAACAGTTGGGGAGAAGATGAAATGGGTAGAGAGAGAGCGAGAGAAAGAGAGACAGACTTTAGGGATATCTCACAAGATTGAATGTCTGATGGGTTAGTTGCTCAAGATGGGGAGGGAGAGAGAGAACCATTCGATGGCTGTCAAAAGTGGCAGGCCTTTTTTTGTTGGATAGATATATCTGGTTGTTAAAAATGGAGTATATATTTACTACTGAAGTAACCTCGATATTTTTAAAAATTCATAATTATATTTATACAACTTAATAAAACGAGCTATCTCACGAGTAGCTAGGCTCAAATATAAAAAGAGCTTAAAAAATTGATCAGATTCAGGTCATTTTATAAAATGAGCAAGCCCAAACTGAGCTAAAACTGATCTGAACTAGAGCTGTTTGCAAGCCACTCAAATTGTTTAATAGCCCTATTCATCGTAGTGTGATTTGGTTCATCCACAACATGTTGGGCAACTCTTCTACCCATTTTCCTTTAGTTTTTTCCTGCCTCTTCTTTATCCCATCGAAAATTGCTTTGTTTGATGTCTTTGATTGCCCGTTACTCTATGGGTAAGTGTCACACCCTCACCCCGGATCACATAGGGTGGGCGACAGAACGGCCACTAAGGCCTTAACCAACCAACTTTGTGCATAATAAATGCAAAATACAACAGAAGATAAATAATAACGTGATTCATTTCATCAACCTAATGAATACCAGGGGAATAAACTAAACATCACCAACATCATTATTAAACTCATGTAAAATAATAATTAAATCATAAGATTCACTACTCTAAACATCAACAATATTGCTCCCAAAATAATTGAATACTTATCTCAAAACTATAAAAGATATTTATTCCTGAAAACCTACAAGAAAATAAATCTTCAATTCTTCTAATTCTTTGTCTATCCGAGAACTTACTCCTCCTCTTGATCCTCACCTAAAAAATGTTAAATGTTTGGGTGAGCACAAAGGCTCGTGAATAGCAACCATCTCTAATGAGGTGTGAAAATAAATCTCATAGTTTATATACAAAAATAAACTTGAAAACATACTTAAGTACAACAAATTGTACCCCAATCTCTCCCACATAATCCTGTAAACAAAATGATCTCCTGATCACAAATAACTTTATAAATGAAAAAACATTTATAACCCAAAACACCCACTTATTTTCACAAATAAATTTATAAATAAAAAGACATTTATAACTCAAAACACACACACACACATATTCAGTTTCAAATACATTTGTCAAATTATGTTTGTTACCATTAGCCTAATAACTGGTTTCATCTCTTGTCATCACTAGCCTAATGACTGACCCCGTCTCTTGTTATCACTAGACTTGATAATTGGCCCCTATGTGCATATCCCTATACCGACCACACCGGTATACAATCTCGTTACCCATTTAGACTTGGTAATCCAGTCCCCTTCTCATAAAACATGATTTCAACACACACCGAAACTGTTGTTTTAGTCCCAACGCACACAAAATTTCCCTTTCATTACCAAAACACATTTAAGCAATGATATAAAATTATTCCATAAGTTTTTCAAATTCATCTGTATAATAATTCACAATTGTAAAAAATTTAATTGCAACCCCAAACATCAACATATATTATATATATGAAAAATTAACACAAACGCACCCATAATTTAATATAGAAAATTCTCCCAAAAGAAGTAGTAAACTATTCACCTTGATTCCCAAAATTCAATTCAAAGTCTTCTTTCTCAACCTCAATGCAATCACCACCTAATCTAAAATAACAAATAATAATCAATCTCTATGGCTAACTTCGTCGTTTCACGATTCTATATTTAATGTTTATACTTCTTACCCATTGATATATATACTTAATATATCTTTTACATATTAATATCATTTCTAATATGAGGTAATATGGTATGGATGTATTCTAAGCTATTTAGAAAAATTTTCTAAAATTTTGGAGTCAAATCATAATTTTTAAAACTTTTTGGGGTAAAGTGTAATTTCTTTGAAAAACGAATTTTCTGTTTTCAAGACTGCCATAAGTTTTCCAGAATTCAATTCTTGCAACTTACCAAGTAAAAAGGTGGTTAAAAATTAAATTTCAAAGAATATAGGGGTCAAAATAAAACTCTTTGAAACTAAAAGAGAAGTTTCCATAATTTTACACTTTTTCACCATCTTCTTCCTGCGGAAACTCTAAAACCAATAACTTCCTTTTCCTTTTTTTTTTTTTTTCTTTTTCTTCTCAACACATTGATTAAACTCAATCAATTCCAAACAACTATAAACTAAAAGATCAACCTAATAACTTCAATAATTAATAAGGTACCATGAGACATATATATATATATATATATATATATATATATATATATATATATATATATATATATATATATATATACACCAATAGTATAAACCCTACACCCTTTAATTGAATAAGAATATAAAACCCATAAGAAAATAATCAATTCATACCTTGGATGAATTCAAGTCCCTTTCTTTCTTTTTCCTCCTCCTTCTCTCTCTCACTCTCTCTCTCTATCAAAACAATAATAACCATTGTTCTGCACGTCATAAACTCATAGTTGTGTCTCAACATAAATAAGAATAAAGAATGATCACAAAACATAATTATATATAGTACATCTGTAAAATGGGTCATTCTTTAATCTAATTTATCAAAATGGATCATTTATCTACACGTCAATGTAGGTACTCTCTCTCCATCACAACCTTGAATGTCATTGTATCAATCTAAATCCGCATCTTCCAACTGGGGAAGTATACAACAATCTAACATTTACAAAATCAATTAAATTTAGTACACGTCAGGAATTTTAAAATTATAAATTTCAAAATATAAAAAATAAACTATAACAAATAAATTTAGTTACCTTATTCAAGCATAGATAAGTAAAATCATTATATAGAAAACAAAAAGTCTAATATATAAACAAACTAATGTGTCATGACACTACCTCAGAAATTAGGATTCTGTTGAGTTCATGCTCGTCGCGGATCACAATACCAACATTATTTTTCTTGAGCAACTTAACAAAAAAATGAACACAAACTATATGAGCATATTAGTGAAATGAAGCTCATCGTACAGTTTGTTCTAAGTCGTCATCAATCTGTAAGAAAATGCATGAAAATAAAGTGAAATCAAAATGTGAATATTTTACGGCGACAAAAAAAATAGAGGTTTAAACTTACAAGACCAAATATGAAGAGATCTTTCATTTTTCAATCTTGTGAGTTTGCAGTGGTGGTTAGTACACTACAGTGGCTACAAATATAAAAAACAAAGAGAAATAATTAAACATGCAATTGAAAATATACAATATTGTCTTAGCAAAATTAATCGTGTAAGCAACTTAAAAAAAATTAGATAAATACACTCCTTATGCAACAAACAAAAATAATTTGATAAGTACTAAATATTCAAATAAAAATTTGCAATAATTGGAGGAAGTACCGCATAATAGCAATGAACGAATTTGATGTAGCAAGTACTACCCTTAACCACTTTATTTCCACAAAACCAACGCGGTAATAAAAAGTATAGGAAAAAAAATTATGCAATTCAACTCAACTTAGAGGCCCTTTACTCATTTTGCACAAACAACAAAAATACAAAGGAACATATAACTCAAATTGAGTAAATCAAAAAATTAGAAATATTCGTTAAATACACATATTCATTTAGTTGTAAAATTGCCAAAAACACATAAATATTGACATATTTAGTGCATTTGTAGATCATTGACATAGGTGGTAAATCATTTTTAGTGCATGTGCAAAAAAATCAAATACTCTTCTTGCCCTTCCAGTTTCTTCTACTAAAAATCAAATACTCTTTTAAGTGGATGGGTGGTAAGTACGTATTACTCTTTTCTAGTGATGCAACTATGCAACCATGGTGTACATGAACATTTTAGCTAATTACCCTAATCCTGAGAATCTATCTATTATTCATTTTCTTTATTTATTATCTTGCAATGTTACAACCCAACTTTGTCAGTTTGGCTTATGAACAAAAATCTAGGAATCCCAAAAGTACAACTAGAATGGTTTGCTTCAAGCTTAAAAGTTCTGATTGGAACCAATAAGTCACTGCCTGGATGCAGAACAACAAACAAATGATTTTGGATATCATGTAGGGCCAGAATCAGAAAAATCGATTATTAATAACAAACCATCCCACACATCATGTCCCAAAAATTTAAACATCATGATGTGATAAAATATCAATTTACTACAACGGTCTAAAATTTTAAATTTTGAAGTCCTTATATATTTATCCTTATAGTACCACAGAACTCGTTTTACAATATTTATCCTGCATCACGCTCTACAATAAATTGAGATTTCAAGAATCAAAACCACCTAGGCAGCAATCATATATGTCAACAGCTAAATAATGCATACCCTAAAGGATAAAAAGGTCGAGGGCCTTGAAGTTCAATTTCTCTCGGTTCTATTGTCTCCAAACTGCAAATACAGTATCACAAAGCAAAAGATCAAAGGTAGAAAAAACAATTAGACCAAAAGAATCTAAACTTTCCAGTACACCAAAGTAATCAAATTTTTCAGAAAAGGTCCTTGCTAGGCAAGACTTACAGAACAATTTGGTTAAGAATATGGAAAGATCACTTTATACATTATGAATAAGTAACCTACTTGTAAAGAAGATTCAACCCATCGCTTAAATAAGACAATCTAAAGATGATTACGAAGGTACTTACTACTTATACTCCATTTCTTCTGATGGGTCAATGAACAGGTTCAAAATTTTGAAGAAAACATAAAATTCCCTCAAACCATTTTTCAAACTAAGGAAGCTTAGTATATATAGACAAACGATCAAACATACATTCTAGGTGACCATCAATTTGATCATAAAATTCAGATTAGTGGTTGATTTAGGCTCATGACCAGCATCTTCTAGCTTGATTTCACGACCGACACATCAAAACATATTGTGCAGGGAGACAAACACATCAAAACATATTGTAATTAGTCTCTTGCAGACACACGACAGAGCTAATATATGCCTGAAGCGACTGTGTGTGCGTGGCTGTAAATGCAGTCCAAGGAAAAGTGAAAAACAGATGTGTGTGTGGTTGTGATTCAGAGGGTGCCTTTGACAGAGAATGTATGGCATGGGCATTTGAACGAACAACTTGTGGGCATTTGAACGAACAGCTTGTGGGCATTTGAACAAACAACAAAACCAAACAAACAGAGGCAAGTTGCGTTGAAGGATTTGGAAAAGCTTCCACAGCCTTAGTTCTACTCAGAGTCTCACGCAGACTTACACTCATTACAGACATTATTGTTGCTGCCTGCAGCAGCCACCCACTGTGAACCCTTGGTCTGTGGTCACAACAGCCACATCATTAGTAAAGATTCTGAGTGTCTGTGTGGTTACACATCTGCACTCACTGCTCATTTGGTTTCAAAAAATTCTATAAACAAAAAATTCTACTCACTGCTCATTTGGTTTCCTGACTCCAATAAAAACATCTACTGGATTGTAGTCTCTTTTTTCATGAATTGCGCTTTCATGAAATGTGCTTCCGTCTATAGATCCAATCGACGAAGCCTTTGCCGCCTAAAATACAATGAAGAAATCAAAACTATAATATCACATAGATGTATAAATCATTTTTAGTATTTTTTAATACAAAGATCATCCCTATATAGTTATAGCATTATACCATGACAAACTGAAGTAATACATTTCGGTTCAACTTCTGTAAAAAACCTCACCGAATGGAACTAACAACTCTCCAATAACAAAATAATTCCAAACTATGAACGCATAAAACCCCAATGTCACCACCGATTCATAATATATTCCAAGGTTTAAAAAAATATAACTTCATATCACAATCAAAAGTGAAGCAATATATCACTATAACAACAATTCATTATCCAAAAAGTATAGCTGAATGAATTCAATCCATAAAGGATTCCAGCTAGAAACGATTGCAATATAAATTATATGCCCATTCAATGAAAAGAATATAATCTAAACAATACAAAAACTAATCCAATTTCATGACTCCAAACCAAGCCAATTCACTTTGTCCCAGCTGAATATTAATTGCCTATATAAACAAGCAAATCAATGAGTTTACTTAATTGAATCCATAAAGTGAATAACAAAATTTTAATTGTTAAATCCTTAAAAATAATTCATTAGATCACAACATAAAATCCACAAAAATAAACACATTCATTCATCATCCACATATACATATATATCTAGAGGGATATAAGGAGAAACCCACAATAGTGTAGGCAAAATTGCAATTCGTAAAAGTGGTAGCACAATAAATTCAATCCATAAAGAAGGCTAGCTAGAAACGATTGCAATATAAATTATATGCCCATTCAATGCATAGAACATAATCTAAACTATACAAAAACTAATCCAATTTCATGACTCCAAACCAAGCCAATTCACTTTGTCCCAGCTGAATTTTGAATCAAATAACCAAAACAATCAATAGTTGAATTTAAACCCAAGCAATTCATATTACCAATATATGAAAGGCAAACTAATTTGATCATTGCAATGTTTAGCATGGATCAATCAAAATTGCCAAACGTCATTAACATTCAATTTATGCAAAAAAAAAAAGTTCAACCTAATTGATACATTGTACGTGAAAATTTCCAAAAAAAAATGGGTAAATAAAAAATGAAACTCATCCATGCTAAACATCTACATACATATGTTGTCAATGCATTAGGAGGGAAAGGTGTAGTAGGAAGAATTCTTACCAAAGCGCTTCATCATTGATTCCAAGAGTGAAGCATTACCAAAGTGCTTCTCAACCTTCAAAACACACACATATCCTCTTCTTAATCAAATAGTATTGTAAACCCTTAAAGCTTAACACCAAAGAAATTAAACTATGAAAATCAAGAATCAAAAGTGTGCATATTGTTCATTCAATCCAAATAACCACGTTTCCATGAGAAATTTCATCAAACTAACCGTGTGCATAACCAAAGATGTAGCATTTGTTCAGTACATAATCGAAAGGAATTCCATGCTAGAAAATACCATTCTAAATTGCACAAACAATGAATGAATGACCACAACACCATAAATTGCCAACTAACAAAAGTGGGTATTTACACAATTTTATAAGAAAAATATTTGCTTAGAGTTCAAGAATTCATTGACCACGACAAAGCTTGAAAGTGCAACGTTCATCTCTGTTCCTCGTTGAAGTAAACTTGACTCCATCAAGCAACATGGGTACCCAGTGAACTGGAAAACACAATGATGAAAATATCACTTAAAGCTTAAAATATCACATGTCATCAACTTTTCTCTTATATAAAAACTTAATCAAGTCCAAAGTATAAAGTCAAGTGCATAAACTTTCAAACCAAAACACAGAACAAAAAATAGAGCAGGAAAGAACTTGCAAGTTCTTATTCGTTATTTTGTATCATTTGAAAATCTTGATCAGGGCTTGTGAAAATCTAGATCTTTGACGATGGTCACAGTGCAAGCATCATTTGTCATCACATACGCCTGTGTCATCACCACCACCCCCAAAACAAAACACATCCCATGTTAACTTATGAGAGAGAGAGAGAGAGAGAGAGAGAGAGACTACCACTATATATTGTGATTTGTGAAAGATTAGATCATGGTCGATATAGAGAAATGAAAAAAATCATAATAAAGAAGTACCTTTTGATGGTGCTAAGTCCCCTGCTTCCGATAACCAACGAATCCAACTTCAGATCTTCAATAGCTTCACACAGCTTCTCTCTTGCGTCTCCCCAATAAAGTTTCGTAACAAAGATTATCTATGAAAAAAAACATTTATTTCCTAAAATTACTCACGCAATTACAAACAAATAATTGGAATTCGTGCCATTAGCTGGAAGAGTGCTATTACTCCAGGACCAGTCAAGGTTGCCTAATGCAAGGATCAGACAGAGTGTGGTCTGTAATCAAAAGGAATGAGGCTGATTATGCAGAATGTCAGCAGTCAACAAGCATGATTTGCAGCAGATGGTTAGAGAGCATGCTGCCAAGTGCAAGGATGAGAGAGTGAGATCAGAATTACAAGCAGTGATCTGGGATCAGAGCATGGGGTTATTTTGCTTTGGAGACTGGAGAGTGCTGTCAGACTGGACTGCTGATTGGAGACTGCTGTTAGGCTGTGTACTGGAGAAGTGAAGTTGAAAGAGGCCTTAACAACAGTTTTTCTATTCTTTGTAACAGAAAAGAATTTTCTGTTATGAAAACAAATTCTGTTTTTTGCTTGTTAAAACAAATTTTTTCTGTTTTTGATTCTTGTAATTCTTAAATTACATTCAATAAATTTTATTTAAAAAAAAAATTACAAACAAATAATTATCAGTATGAAACATGAAAACCACAACATAAAATGGCAAAAAAAAAAAAAAAACTAAATATAAATGCCCTAAACCTCGACCAGAGGAATGAGAGCTACAAAACAGAAAACCCAGGTCAATTTTAGTCAGATCAGATCAAAATTATCAACATCAGATGAAGAAAGGTTGGATTAGGATCATGGGTATGAAATGATCTATAAAAATGACGATGATAATGAACATGAGACTTGATGTGGATGATGTAGAAGGTATCACCTTTTTCACCCAAGTTGTCAATAGCCCATTGCAGAGCCGTCTTGCTGCTCTTTGAGAAATCCATTGCCACTCCAATCCTCTCTCTCTTCTTGTTCTTGGTTGTATGAAGAACAAAATCGAACTCGTATGAAACTTTGAACCAAAATCGAAGACTTAAAAAGGTGTAATCTTTTTTAAAAAAAAATTACAAACAAATAATTATGAGTATGAAACATGGAAACCCCAACATAAAACGACAAAAAAAAAATAAAAAACAAAAACAAAAAACCCAGATCAAAATCGAACTTGGCATATGAAACTTGAAACCAAAATCAAAGACTTAAAAAGGTGTAATCTTTAGGAATGGTTTGATGCTTTTGGATGGAAGCTGTGATGAGAAAGCTAGAGAGAGAGAGGAGGAGGAGGGGTACCTGGGCGACGGCAGAGAGAGGGAGACATGGCAGAGGCTTTATCTGCTTCGTGTGTGTGTGTGTGTGAGAGAGAGAGAGAGAGTCGTGACAAAAGGAGAGAGACGTTATGGTTGCCGCCTTGCCTTGGGTTATGTGTTGGAATAGGTGGGATTTCGTTTTTGAGTAGATGTATTGTGAGCCTTTGAATTAGAAATCTTTGAATTGATTTAAGACTGTTGGATGTTAAAGCCGCTCTATTTTATATTATAAATAATTATGTGTGATTTTGAAATAGAAGAAAACAAAGAAACATAATAATGAAAAATTACCTAGTTATTTCACTACTTGAAGCAACATCGCAACCAACATATTTATAGTGTTCACCAACTTGCCACCTTAGTGGCATTGCCAACCTCAGTTTTACGTGTTAAACAGAACAAAAATTCACAAATATTGAGCTCGCAATGTTTGTCAACCAAATGTTCAATTCAAGTAAAAGAAATACAATTAGAAATTCAATTACGCTTAATCCCGAATTCCAACAAAATTCGCATAAGCTTGAACATAATAAAACTAATCATCAATTCTTTTTTTATAGTAGAACATCCAAAAGTAATCTCCAAGGCTTCTTTATTTCTCCGAGTTTATTAACAATACCATAGATTAACAAACTAAAATTCATAAATGATCAACAAAGTCATAAACTCTTAAAACTCAATCCAAACCACAAAGTAAGTTGCATGTTCTGTACAAATTAAAATGAACTCATCAAGACAAAACCAGTGCATGTCTTAGAAACGACACATACCCTAATTCATGTATTTAAACAGAACACAGTCAAAACCAATGCAAGCAATCAAAAATTTGAAATAAGAGAAACATGCAAAAAAATAGAATAAAAAACAGTTAATTGCTACTTCCATCTTTAATCTGTTTCAAATAGAAAAATGCTACCCAACAATACAAAATTTAATAATCCAAAGACCGAAAAACAAATTATTATGAAGCATGACTCTGTGCCAAAAAAAGAGCATAAATAAACAGCGCAAATAGAAAGTTCCTGCCTTGAAGCGGTTGATAAATAGATACCCCCATATAGTAATCATTCAACCAAACCAAACTCATCACTCACTAGATATTCCAAAAGCTACCAATTCGGATGTAAAGAAATCAGCAAAAGGGGAGAAATCAAACCATAAAATATATCTAGAAGACTATTCGTGACAAAAAGTTATACGTCTCCACCAACTACACAACTTAGATGTTCCTTCGTCCGAATGTTAAGAATCTAATACCTGTTGGCATTGTGGTAGCTTGAAAATTGGTGGATTCTTGCTCTTTAAATTGAAGAAATTCTCCAGTTGGATTATTGGGAGAACCCATAAGCAAAGAACCCAATAGCATTGGTTATGGCAACATTAATCTGTTGGATACAACATTGATAACAATGTTGGTTATTAAGCAATTGGAATACCTCTTATCGCAACAAAAACACACACCAAATCAGAACAATTAAGGTTCATTTAAAGAATCTCTAATGACAATCCCACACGAAGTGGTATTACTATGATAACTGGTATCATGGAAGCAAGATGAAAGCTAAGTATGACTTTCTCTGAATAATTTGTAATTATACAGGAGGAATATGAAAATGAAACTACTTAAACACTCAAAATGGGCATTGTTTTCTTTTGTAACTATTCTGTTGAAATAAAATCTGTAGATATAAACTCACAAAAAGATAACAAAAGAAAAAGTCATACCAAGATAGTACTTTTAGGTAGAGTGCATGCTTTAAGAAATGCGGCCTTCTATAGATGTCATCAACTAATACTTTGAACATCTACACAAATTAACATTCCAATTTATAATCAAAATCATGACAGCCCAATCACCAACCCGATAGAAAAATCAAAAAATGATTTTAACAATAATTACCGCCAATTTCATCTCATTAACAACCCAATTTCATGAAATTAATTTCCCCAAATTTCCTCAATGTCATGCATTAAAACGATTGATAACAAAATTGACAACAATTAACACCATTTCAACCAAATTAGCAACCCCAATTCATCACATTAACAACCCCAACTCGACAAAAGTAACAGCTAGGGTTGTGCGTGTGAGTGTGGGTGTGTATGTCCTGTGCGTGTGAGTCTGGTGTGGTGTGTGCACTATCAACAGTGTTGTGCATGAGAGAGAGAGAGAAAAATTGTTTTCGATTGGAGGGGGGTTTGTGTGTAGAGGTTGGTGTGTGTGGGAGTGGGTGAAAAAATGAGGGTTGGGGAAGGGGGATGTGGTCCGCAGATAAGGGAGTGGTGGTTGGATGGGTGTTTGTTTGTGTGTGTGTGTGTGTGTGAATAGTGGTTTTGCAAAGAAGACGGAGAGGATTGGGGGTTTGTGTGTGCATGTAGCAGAGAGAAGGGAGGGAAAATAGAGGGTTAGGGTGGGAAAACGGTTTTGCAGAGAAGACGCAGAGGATTGGAGTTTGTATGTGCGTGTAGCAGAGAGAGGAGAGGGACAAAGAACGGGAAGGGAAAACAGAGGGTTAGGGCAGGGGGAAAAACAGAGACGACAAAGGGAAAGGGCCATTTTGGGATTTAGGGTTTGTCTGTGCGTGTGGCAGAGAAAGAGGAGGGAAAGACATAACTGAGATGGTGGTGCTAGTGGTGGAGGCGATGCTGGTATAAGAGAGTGAGTGAGAGAGGAATGGGGTGTGGAACAGGTTGCAAGTGATGAGAGCCGAGAGAGAGAGAGAGAGAGGTGAGGAGAGAGGAAGGTGATGGGTTGCAGGTGTGATTGATGGCATGGTGTCATTAGTGTGATTGATAGCAGGTTTAAGGAGGGGGAAAGAGAAAATCTTGGCCGGGAAAAAAATTGAATTAAGTGGTTGTAGACCGCTGGATGAAATGAATTGTGACTTTCCGATTGACTTGTTAAAGCCCGCTGTGTTTTATATTATAGATTGAATTATTTGAATTTGGGCAGGCTTCTTGGTACGTTCCATCTGCCCATGAAATATATATATATATATATATATATATTCAGGGGAATAAATTTTTTACAGCCTAGAAACATCGTTTACAGACAATGAATCAAAAATTTGACAATTGCACAAATTTATTGAAAATTTTTAACATTGATTTGTGTGTTTATATAGTTATCAAATTTTGAATGTTTGTTTGTAAAAAATTTATTTTCCTTATTCATTTTTACGTTGCTCTCATAAATAGTAACAGATCTAGCAGAACAAGGATTTTTTTTGAGATAGCAAAATACAAATAAAGAATTTTTGCCAATTGACATTAAACACGAAATATATGATAACCTTTTCAAGCTAAATTAAAATATATAAAAAATAAAATCAGTATCAATCTTAAAAACAAAACACAATGTTTTCAAATTCAAAAGATTATCTGTAATTTATTCTATGTTTAATTTCTTTTTTTAGGTTCTTTTCAATTCGTACAATAAAATAGACGGTGAGATTGTCATTCACTTGTTGCAAACCTTAGTTGAGATTATCATCTATCTTCTTGTTGATAAATCAATTCCATGGCGAAGCAGAAAACACATTTCTAGTAACAACATTCTACCATTGTGATACAACCCTCAAACTTGCCGAAATAGAGAAAGGTACTTTTTTTTTTTAAATGTGGGCAAACTATAGAATAAATCATATAGGTTTTTCAATTTATGAGAGATATATTTTTTCCCCTAAATTTTACACATCAGCACACACTTTTCCTCCCAAACTTTACAAATCCGACATACACACTCCATAACACATAGTTGCACATACATACACATACTCTAATACACATTTCAATGCACAAATTTTAATGCATGTACAGTTTCATAATTCAATGTACCATGTGATTTTAGTCATTGAATATCGCTAGAATATTAATATACCAGGTGTATTATCTTTGGTCTACCATGTGAACTCCAAGACTTTTTGGTTATATTATCTTTGGTCTACCGTGTGAAGGCCAAGACTTTTTGCCTATATTATCTTTGGTCTACCGCATGCCAAACTTTTTGCTTATACTTATGTGTGTGAGAGAGAATAAATCAAAGAGGTTTTTGAACTTTTGGCAATATATTTTTTCCCCTAAATTTCATTCACCAGCACATTTTTCCTCTCAAATTTTACAAACCCACACACACACACTCTATAACACACAGTTACACATATATACACACACTCTAACACACATTTTAATGTATGTACAATATCATAATTCAGTGTACCGTGATTTTAATCACTGGCTATCACTAGTATATTAATATATCATGTGTATTATCTTTGGTCTACCGTGTGAAGGCCAAGACTTTTTGCTTATTTTATCTTTGATCTACCGCACGCCAAGACTTTTTGCTTATACTTATGTTTGTGTGTGTGTGTGTGTATGAGAGAGAGAGAGAGAGAATCAATTATTATGAAATGCAGAGTGTTGCTTACAAGCCGCCTCCAAACATGTAACCTAAAATTAATTGGAGTCAACCGCAACGGTTGTTCTCAAGAAGAAAAAACAAATGTGGGATTATTCTTACCCCATAAATCTTTGTTCCAATCTCATTAAATTATAATCATAAAATTGTTAAATTTATCTTATTTATACCTACTCCATTAATAAGTAAATACCCCTCATCTATACCCACTCTATTA